CCCCCTCCCTCCCCCAAGCCGAACTGTGTGCCCAAACTCAGTGAGCACGCTGCTCTAATGGGGATGCTGTTCACTGTTTATTCAGAAACAACCGAGATACTTTGACTGGATTCCTTGGAGCCTAGCGGTGACTGGATTCCTTTGAGCCTAGCGGCGAAAAATAAAGTTGTAATCATCGCTTGGGAGGCGACAGTGGTGCAGAGGCAAGTGGTAGGCTCGCCATGCGCGGGGGTCGAATCCCGGATCGGCTCCCGCCCAGGCCAACCAAGCCTTTCCCCGGGACGGTAAATTGGTACCAGATTCGTCTGGGAGGATAAAACACTGACTTGTACATCGGCTGGCCACCGCAAGTCATTGTATAGGCCACATCGCATTCAATAAGCCACTACGATTCTGAATGGAAGTAGAATGCGTGCCGCATCCAAAAAGGATTGATTAACGGCGAACCCTTTATCCTTCTCTAATCATCGCTGGGAGAAGAAGTTCACTAAATTTTAGAATACGAAGATCCTATGCCTTCGAGTCAGTATGAGGGGCAACTCTTTCGCCCAGAATTCCCTAGCACAGCCATAACTAGGAAATAGGCTACCCTTAGAGTATCTGGACTCATCAGGTTCCGGGGCAGCACAATATTGTAAGAGGAACACTTTCCACTTCAAAAAAAAACTGCCCGAACTTCGACGATAACTTGTAATTTCCAAGCAAGAGGATTCCCCAAAGTCTGGTACTTTGGAAAAGTTGTTGGCCCTTCATTTCTCACACATTCGAAAAAATGAAATGTCCCAGTAAGGATAGCCCATCTACTGGCAAACTACGATTAGTATGTGAACTATTCCTTCCATCCACCGAGCGTTTATCGACCTTAGCCGATGCGTACCCTCCTGGGAATTGTTGCAGAAATAAAGCTATTCAGCAAATTGCACACGTGAAGCCGAACATTGGAGCATTCCCAATGGGATCATTGTTTCACTTCGCATTTCCATGAAAAATTCAGCAAGTGGATCCATTCACGTCGAGTTCACTTACATAGACAAACATTTCTCTGCGTGTTGAATATATGATTTTGCAGTGGGACTGCAAATTATAGAGGGCGAATAAATGTCACTGTGGGACAGAAGGATATAAGACGGCATTCCGAGGATGGGGAAAGGGAAAGAAATGACTCGAGGATAAGTACTGCGAAAAGGCACTCAAGCGCAGTTTGGCTCCGAGGGGGCATTATGCACTCTGGCTACATTCCGTTGTCGTGTTCATTACTTTACAAGAAGTGGACAGATATTCCTTACAAGAGTTGACAAGCATTCACTTGCCATTAAGAACAGTCCGCAATGATGGGTAATCGGAGACTGTTAACCATTGCAACTGTCTCTCTATAATATTACCATCAAGAAGAGTGAAGAACCAGTGAACAAGGATTGTCCTAATGGTTATGAGTGCCCATAATATTCTCCCCCACCCACTTGCCGTGAAATGCATCTTTAACGCGTTACGAACCGCGTGACACCCATAGTGTGTCACGAATTTGTCTCTGTGCAGTCTTATATTCGGACTAAACTTTGACTTGATCTTTTCATGTTCTAATGTTCGCCAAACACCTTTTCCGAAGGTTCCTGCTCTTCATAAAACAATCTGAAAGAACGGTAGGAAATTCTGAAAAAAAATCTGAAATTTTACTGCAAACAATGTTTGGAAATTCGAGACGGACATGCAGCGCAGTATGGCGCGTCCGCAATGTTCTTAAGTAAATGAGAATCCAAATTCAAACAGCCATAACTTTCTAGGGCAGAGCTCCGGGACGAGAAAACTCATTTCAGCGAGTTGACTTGCGTCGCTGAGGGAGAAAGTCATATTTGCCTCTCGAGGAAATTATTGACGCGAGCAAGAACACGTTCGAGCGCTTAGGACCGGGGAACATTTTCCACTTCAGCTAGTTCCTTTCGCTGAATCATATGAATAACAGGCTATTTTATGGAGCTGTTTTCAATTGTTTGGGGGGGGGGGGAAAAGCTGCGACCAATGCAGTGAAAACGAAATGACAAAGTTTCTTAGAAGCTCAAAAAGTGCCACTGCTCAGGCTCACTGAGCCCACATTTGGTGCCTCCGAGCGCGAAAGCAGAAACTGTCACACGCATAGCTGCCCTCCAGTTGTTGTCTTCGCGCGTATTTTTCCTTTCGTGAAATTCCTTCCTTTCGCACGGGAACTTCTTTTCGTAATTCGACCAGCGCCATTTTGGAAAGAGAGCCGCCATCGCCTCTACATCACACATGACTGTCCCCGCCTTGATATCCGAACAATCAGTAAAGTATCTAACACCACTAAATAACCATTCAGGGAGTTAACATGATGCTGTCTTCCATAGCCTTACAGTCACAACCTACTGATGCGTTTTTTTCTAACCACTGTGCCACCCAATAAAACACGCTCCTCTCTCTCACACGTAACAACCGCAAGAGTGTTTTGATGATACAAATCTGCTACAGATGCTCAAAATCTGATTCTTGAGCGCGTCACCATTAACCCGCTGTGGCTGGAATTACGGTGGGCGCTCTGTTGTATTAAAAGCAACATTCATAAGAACCGAAAGCGCTGTTTGGCTAGGGAGGAGCATTTTGAACTTCCGCTAATTCCTGGTAAATTACACCACGAAGAGACCTGTAGACCCTGGTCGAGTGTGAACGGAGTTCCTGCTTGTACTTCACGGGAATTTACAGGCCTCACAAGAGGCATCAGCAGTGAACGATGGGAACCTGCAAAATGCCCCCACCAAGCCCAACGGCGCCGTTTACAGCTATTCTTCCCGATGAATGTTACCATTGAAGCGATCACAATCAAGTAATCCAACTTGTATATTACACACTGATTCCGTTTTAGCATACAGCATTTTATCAACAGCTGCAAAGCGCCTGAGAAATGTGTGGCTTTCGAGACAAAGCGCATAATAAACACAACACGGGGCAGTACGACGACGGGGAGGGGGCATTTTGCACTTCATTACTTCCCATCGACGCGCCGACCCATCAGGGAGCCATTTCGTGAGCTTACAAGAGTTGACAGGTTTTACCATGGTAGCTTGACGAGCTACGAGCTTGTTCCAGCTTCACAAGAGTTCACAGATTTCATGAGAGTGAGACTTGTAAACCGGAACTAGTGAAGCGACGAAACTTCAAAACGCCCCTCCCTCTTCGCCGAACTGCGCACACAGCTTCTACAATTTACTATGCATCCTACTGAAGATTTTTTGATCCCATGTGATACACAAATTCTCAAAATAATATCAAAGCCACTCTCAATTTCTACGGTGAAATTCGTGTTGGAAAACTTGGCGCAATCTCTTGAGACCAACAACGACATGCCCCGATAAATGCCTCCGATTTATCCTTGTCAGCAATAGCCGCTCTTACTGAGCACGCAAAAGCGAAACATTCGAAACATAGATAATGCTCATTAAAAATAGCCCATCCCTATGAATAGCGTCCATATTTTGGGATGCGCAAACAGTTTTCTCTACCTGAGAAATAGACAATGCGAAAACGCCCTTGCTCAACGAATTATGAAAATAACATAAAGAATCGTGGATCGGCGTCGAATGAATCCTTTAGAATGCGCCACGAACTTAACTTCGAAGTTGAAAAGCATTTGAATGGATATTGATCCTGAACTAGACGAGTGAATTCAAGGAAGCCAGAAAACATTCAAACCGTCTGATCGTTCTCTTATAGAAGGATAAATCTAACGATGGAAGTCCCGACATGACACGTCGTACGCCACGCATCTCCATCGCCAGAAGCCGTCGGATTTGCTTTTGAGAGAAATTTTACCGCTTGTTGATTTTTCTCGTTTTCTTTTCTGTCCCAAGTGTACTGTATACCTCCACTCCAGCACTCTCAACCAGCCGCGCATATCACCTCAGTTGGGGATTCCTCAACAGGGCGGGGGGGGCGTCTTGATGCGATCGCTCGAGAGTTGTGAGCGTAACCGTTTAGCTGAGAAATTTTTTTCTACGTTGATTTATTTTTAGTTATCAGCAGGATGATTGCAAGGAGGGGGGGGGGCACTGGGAAGAGAGTCGTATTCGCTGTGTTGTTGAGAGGTCGAGATTTATCTTTTTTTGACCTAAGCTGAGAGCGTAGCAGCAGGTTTGCTGATTTTCCGTCTGGCGTTTTTTCCAGCGTCATACCGACTCGATTAAAATCCCAACTATAATGAGTCCTGCCTTCAACTTCCTTCCCCTTCTCGAAAAAAAAGAATTTCTAAAAAAACCCTTGGGAAAATTGGTAGGCAGTTGGGAAAAGTAAGTCGTTAACATCAGAGGAAAAAATCGGCGTGGGGGTCGTATAATGGAAAAATCTTCTCTTTCGGCAGGACGTACCCTTCATACCGAAAAACAAATGTAGGCCTGATTGATCTGGGATATCCAAAATCTTATCCAATATCCAAACCCAATCTTTTAGGACTCGGGCAATCGGCCCTGCTATATAAACAAAGATGAACGTTTTACAGTTTTCAAAACTGTCGTTTTTCAAAAGTAGCCCCCCCCCTTGAATGACCTCCAGCGATAAAAGTGTGACCAAATGAAGGAGAAATGTAAATATGGCTTTTAAAAAATTCCTCCAAAAAGGATCACTGGCCAAAGTGGCTACTCTAACGAGACATTCACTACTGGAGATCTTCAGGCGCTGATTTCCAATCTGCTCTCCAAAATCGCAGAACGATTTTTTGAGCAGAAATAAGAGTTTTCTTCGTCACACCTTTGAACACATCCAGGAGCACCTTCTGATCCATAGGGGAATCAAAAAAAACTGCAGGAAAAGGAAAAAAAGTAGAGATCACGAAATTATGGGTTTAATTGCCTCATGATAGAGGGGACCATGCCCACAAGACTTCTCTCTCAAACTAATGTCTGTAATCTGATCTGAGGAACAATTAATTCTACACGTGTTATCACACTAATCGCAATTTCCACTGAAATTCGAGACATCGCAGTCGTAACACGACTCCTTCGATCATCGAAAGCTCGAGATGGGGACAAATAATAGTAAAAAAAGAATCTCGTTGGGGAGTTCAATCACGGAAGCCAACTTAACATCGGTTAGCAAATGGAACATTCCAACCCCACCTACCAGGACAATTTGAAACTGGTAACTATGTCGTGCATACTTTCTCACAAGACTTTCAATTTCTTTGCCTTTTTTCCTTTTTTTTGTTTTTTTTCCGACAATCGTGTTCGTGACATTCGACAACGCAACAAGTAGAAATAGAAGTAGGAAGATGGGACTGGTCACTATGAATGGAGTGGCAACTACACCCTACCGTGAGTACGGAGCTAGTAATGGCCTGAGCGATCCCCACGCTAGAAAGAGAGAAAAAAATTAACCACCGCTGAAAATTCGACTAGAAAAACGTCAAATAAGAGATTGACATGAAACCAGAGGGATCTGTTATAAACTTTGCTATTTTCGTTGTGCTGCGCCAGTGAGCTTGTTAGAAAGAACTCCTCGTAGAAGTACACCAAACACCGTCAAGAACGTCGTCTTCAGGCCAGTCTACTACCGAACGAGTGGAACGACGTCACACTGTATTAGTTGTAGCTGCTAAGTGGCAACTAATACAAGGTGGTATCGTTCCACTCAGCAACTACAACAATACAGTGTGAAAATGAAAAATTATGGAACAACAAGCGTTCCTTTAGTTCCTTGGTCTGATTTGCAACTAGTTAAGAGCGGGCCCATGTTGAATAGGATAGATAGTTTCCAAAGTTTCGGTATGCTTCCAGGCCTTTGAAAACGACGAGATTGTCGAAACGTCAGGCGTAAAATTTAAATGCATCTCACCATACAAAACCTGTATTGGCATAAGAAAGAAGTTATCCAGAACAAGGTGGTATCGTTCCACTCACGCGGTGGCGGACTGACCATGAGAACGACAAACAAAACGAAATTTCAGGCCCATTTTAATGAAGTATTGCACCTAAGAATCTCGTTTGTACAACAGAAAACTGTGGACTTCATCACAATTCCGAGATTTTACAAACTAAGAAGTTGTATACTGCTGACAGGGTATAGCATCGTTGTGTGGAACACATGGGGGGGGGGAAGAGTCGTACTCGGCCGCTGGGGGAGGGGGGTCGTATCTGGGTCCTTGTTGGGAAGGGGGGGTGGTATGCGCCTTTGAGAGAAGTTCGCAGCGTTGGGAAAAAACTTTCCCGCTTGCTGACTTTTCGCGGTTTTTCCCGTCCCCCATGGTAGGAAGCTGGGAACTTCTAGAAAATTGGTAGGTAAGTGATGGGTAAGGTTGGGGGTCGTACCGACACCCTGCTTCAGGGAGGGGGAACGTACTGACACCACCATTTCACACATCACTTTGCTGTACCCTGACCGCTGAGCCTGAGGTATCTGCTTGTAGCGTAAGAACCATGAGGTAATGAGTTTTCGCCACCTCGCACTTTGGAGGAAAGTTTCTACGGTAACTCCTTTATTACTGCGGCGATTTGTCATCGGATTTGTCAATTTGAAAACAATCTGGCATCAGTAAAAATACTAACCTTCTATAGATCCAACAGCAAAACCGCAAGGCATCGAATTTGTTTTGTCTTTGAAAATCGATACGCATCGGTGCTAAAAATAATAAACGTCTACTTCCAAAAATAGTAGTCCTCGCATAAGAGAGTGAGAGTCCCCGTTGCTGATGAAGATCAAGGAAACACGAAATGAAATTCGCGGCGCAAATTAGATTACGGGCAGTAGAAGGTGGCATGTAAGAAAGGACAGATAGGGAAAACTCCCTCTTCGGGATGCGTGGTTACTCCATCAAATCCGAAAAGACGCTACGGGAAACGAGGACAAAAACTCGACGAACCTGGAACTTTAACTGGCTTTCTATATTTTTCACTTCTTGTGGTCCATTTTCCAAATTGTACACCTTTATGTGGCGATTTGCTAAGCCCACTGCAGCCATGGGATATAACACATCAGCACAGTATACTCGCTCTGGGAGCTGAAAAGAAAATAAAGGCAAAATTCATTCAAAGGGCTGAAAATGATTTTTAATTACAACTCCCTATGGATATTGAGTTAGAAAACCCAAATCTCTGAAGTGCGACTTGTTTTTTTCAGATAATTTACAACTAAACAAGACCAGAGCCATTTCCAAGCAATGAGTTTAATTGCTAGAAACCGGCGGCGCCAAAAGATTCAGTTGGCCACCGTTGAGTCAACATTAGTAAAAGTTTCTTACCCAAATACGTCCCGTTAAAAAAACTCAAACAAAAAGAAGCATGTACAAAAACTAAGCTTACCGTTATATTCGTTAACGAAGATTGAGTGGGTAACTGCCTCATATCCCAAAACCGTAACGTTTTGTCCCATGATCCAGTCATTAAACAGGAGTAATTGTTTCCTGAGATGATAACATTGCATTTCTCATGGTCAAAAAGCCTTTTTCCTTCAGAATTTTCGCAGGCTTTTAAGATAGTGATGACAATGACTTCAGCATTGCCTACAAGCGACTCCACAACTTATAAATGGGGAAGACCCACTACCTTACATTCTGCAGATATTCGCGAATGCCGCATTCACACTTTAGAACTCGGAAGTTTAGGAAAAGGAGTACCGGTGAGTCGACGATCCGACGTTCTCCAAGA